TTATGTACTTTAATTTAGAAAATAACTACTTTTGCCGTAATTTCAATAATATACGAGTTATTTCGGTTTTTCGGCCGAAAAACGCAAATTTCGGCCATTTTTTCAAGATGGCGGCTTTGGCTCGCCTCAGATTTGTTCGCAAATGTGAAATTCGGATTCAGCGATGAAAAATACATAAGAATAGTATATCAGAAAGTTTCCTCAGAAATTGTCTCTACTTTACCCCCTATTGACTGGACTATTCACACGGAGAAGACAAATCACGGACGTTTTCAAGAAATCACGTTTCGTGGTTTTCGATGAAGAATATAATGAATGGCAGGAAGTCTGCAACGTTGCCAACTGAGACACACAATATGCAGTTTCACCGCATCAATATACTGGTGTGAAACTACCAGACCACCCATCTCAGTTTGTGACGACGTAGATTTCCTGTCATACTTTATTTTTAAATGAAAAACTACTCAACGTCAATGTTTTGAGAACGTTCGTGTTTTTTCCTCCCTGTGTGAAGAAAACTCAGTAAAAATTTCAAGAAATGATATTGATTTGTTCCCCCTTAACAAAATATAATGGGAGCGAAGCGAACGAGATGCACGGTTTGCATGGTAGTTTCATTGTCGATGCACAATTTCACAGTCTGCGAACCACCTTGACATTCTTTCTCGGTGTGTAACTGTATGGGTGCAAATTTTTACTAGTCACAGTCTGCAATATTTTCATTTCGGATTTTCCATGAGCGATTTAATAGTGAATGTTGCCCCACTTTTTTTAATTTCTTATTTTTCACAAAGAAGCTAAGCAGTATTCTGACTTGAATTTGAAGGTATATTCCACTTTATAAACCACAAAAATCCTCATTTAAAATGACAATAATTCCAACAAACTATAGAAAAACCTCAAAATCATAAGTTGAAAACCGCTAATGCCGCAAGTTTGAATAATAGTGCCAAACACAGTGCGGTTGGCGCGTGGCTGGTGCTTGGCACAAAAGTAGCGCCTTACAAGACCGCAGGATACTTCATGCATTGCGCGCACAGCACGGTGCGCGCCACGGATGGTATAGCGCCTTACAAGTCCGCAGGATACTTCATGCATTGCGCGTATACCACAAGTCGTTGAAAAGTCGTATTTTCTTGGTGTCAAACCAACCCGAGTGTGCATCATCTCCGAACAGTACACACCGAGAGCTCAGGATCACATGATTGTAGAAATTTTACAATCCTGTCTGTTTTCCGGTGCAAATACAATTGAAGAGTGGAAATTTTTCAAGTTGGAATGTTGTTACGTTCTATCGTCCGGATAACGCTGAATTTAGCTATTACCTTCCACGGAGAGAATGTGAAAATTTTGTAACACGAATGTGGCAAAATTTCCTGGGAGATATTCGTGGTATCGCATTCACTTAAAAATGAACTTTGGCAATCTAACCTGACTTTGGCAATTTTCGCCAAATGACGTTTGTGTCTTTTCCTCTCTGTGTGAAGGAAACTCAGTGAAAATTTCAAGAAATGATATTGATTTGTTCTCCCTCAATAAAATATAATGGAAGCGGAGCGAACGAGATACACGGTTTGCATGGTAGTTTCATTGTTGATGCACAATTTCACAGTCTACGAACCACCTTGACATTCTTTCTCGGTGTGTAACTGTATGGGTTTAAATTCTAACTAGTCACAGTCTGCAATATTTTTATTTCGGATTTTCCATGAGCGGATTAATCGTTAATGTTGCCCCACTTTTTTGAATTACTTATTTTTCACAAGGAAGCTAAGCAGTATTCTGACTTGAATTTTGAAAGTATATTCCACTTTATGAACCACACAAAATCCTCACGAAACACGACATGGTACTATGTTTCGTTTTCTACACAGTAAATAGAAAACGTCAGAGATTAAAAAACCGAAACGTAGGTCTGGTAAAATGCGTCAAATTACCTTTAAAAATTGGGACCGAGAAGACGTATTTTTGGCGTATTTTCTCTAAGGATTTTTTTTATCGCGGGTGCGATATCATCGTGGAAAGGCCACTCTATCATATCGTAATCCTTCATGTTGCTATAAATTTCGCAATGACTTTAAATGGTGGAGGAGGAGTTGTCAAATTAAAAGATGGTGCCGGTAATTTTATCACCCATCAAGAAGCAAGCTCAGGAATCCTTAATTTATGGGACGCAGAGGCAGATAAGGAGGAATTTTATGACCGAGTATGAATGAGGAAATAGCGCCAGACTCGACGGCGACTACGTTCCGGTATAACCATCGAGGAAAAAAGATATGAAGCTCATAAAAGTTTTCAAGTTTTGTAATATTCATAAGCGCTGCCATGAAAATAACATCGGTAGGCTCATAGTTAGGGTCTAAATTAGATCTGTTGATCTCTCCTAACTTTGAAGTAGAATTTAAATTTGGAATATCTAAGTGTCTTGCGACTTAATGAAGGAAACGTGTTTAATCGTCCAAAAAGACTATTTGTTATCATTTTCATAATGCTGCGACGCAAAATCTGCTTCTGCGAAGAAAATTTTTTTCTTAAAGAAAGGAGCAAACGAGAGAAATAAAACGTCAAGATTACTGCCGTGCTATGAAAGAACGCCGTATGAACCTTCAGGCGTTGCCAAATTTCTTTTGATAATACACGACTTTCCCGGTAAAATTATGAATTTTTTTCCTCCAATTTTTCGGATAATTTTGTTCTCGATTTCAGTCATAGTCTCTTAAAATTTCAGAGAAAAATATTCATACATTTCCCCCAAAAATAAACATTTTAGTGAAGGAAATTTGGCAACTTTCGAATGTTCACACGGCGTTTTTCCTTAGCACTGCAGATTAGTACCTAGACTTCCACAAAAAGTAGTCCACATTCATTGGTTCTCGCCAATCTGTACGTGTTTTTGCTTAAATTAGCAATCCTATAAAAAAGAAGTCATCACGATTCATTTATTTTAAAGGCTGATCAAACAATTCGTTACTTAAACAAATAAACAGAACTGAGGGTGTTGATGGAATCAAGTCAATATTTGACACCTCCTTTGCCATTTCTTGGAGAGCAGCTTCTTGTAAAAAAGTGAATTTTTGTCGTGTTGAGTCCTCTATTCAAAACCGCTCGACAATATTTTTCATGTTATTTTTACCTCAGCGGAGAAGTGATTATTTTCCATAAATGTCATAGGCCGTTATACTTTACGTCTATGATGGGAGCTGAGTTTTTCTCTCGGTTTTGAGAATATTTTTTTCCGATAGAAATTCAGCACAGCGTATTTATTGTTATTATCTCCGTAATTAGACTGCATCTCGCTGTTCAGAACTACAATTTCTGGCTCATCTACAAAGATACTTATTTGCAAAGGGGAACTAATGGTACATACGTTGTTTCTAAACTGAACCAGGAATCGTAATTCCTATTTGCAAAATGTGGTCCAATTGCCAGCCCATGTCTTTAACATTCGTGCATTTATAGCTGCCTTAATTAGTAGAGACTTTCTTTTTAATTCTAACATTCCTCGTTTATTGTGTGTCGCGTGATTGCTTCGGCTCTCTCTCTCTCTATTTGTGGATCACGTGATTCTGGCGTGACGTTATTTCCATGGCAGGATATAATAATTCATCTACTACAACGCTACTACTCCTACCGCTACTACTACAACTACTTTTACTATATGTACTACTTTTACTACTACTACTACTACTACTACTACTACTTCTACCACTACTACTACTCCTACTACTACTACTACTACTACTACTACTACTACTACTACTACTACCTTTACCACTACTCCTGCTACTTCCTCTACTACTACTCCTGCTACTGCTCCTGCTGCTACCTCTACCACTCCTTCGCTTTCAAAGTCTGTGTGCTTATCGTGGCATTTGACTGAGCACCTGATTTTTGTCTGTGACATCGAAGCAGTCTAATAGATAATTACGATGCGGTGAAACTTCATCAATCGAAGTGAGATCACTGTACGGTCGGGTCAAACGATAGGAGATGAAAGTGACTGCCTTTGAATCGGACACCGCGTGCTTTCGCGACGTGTCGACGCGTGACAATGCCGCGCTAAAATCCTTCGCTTCTACCATGACATCGCGATTATTATGTAAGGCATGCATTTTGTCGGCAAGCACTCGGCAGTTGAGCGGCGATATCATCCGTTTCTACGATCAAAGCCGGCAGATTGAATCGTCTCTTTTAATTATGTCGCTTCAGTGGTACTGAGTCCGGTCGCCAGGGGGGGTTTTCACGCGCCGTCGGTACCGCGACCAACGACCCGATCGAATCGACCCCCTATCCCTCTTGCTCGTCACGCCTCTGCAGATTTTGGTTATCTCATATTTTAATTAAGTTGAAAACATAAATTTTCTGTTCACCGATAATCTTGTCCGTTTTTCAAACTTCTGTTCCAAAGCATGATACTTCAAAGGCGAGAAGGATTCTCCTTGCCTCTAGGAACGGAGAAGAGCGGATCCAGCATTTCTAGTTTTAGTCAACAATTTCATGTCCGACCTCTCTGATTGACTCGATCCATTGTGTGTTGGCAAGATGGATATTTTACAAGGTCTGCGCCGTGTAAAATATCGATTTTCGATTCTTGTCGTGACATACACTGGAAAAAAAAAAAAAAAAAAAAAAAAAAAAAAAAAAAAAAAAAAAAAAAAAACACATTGGATCTAGAGTCCAGACTCTTAAAAACATCGACAAGAAAGTGTACTCTTGATTCAATCAGAATCTAGCTTAAATCAAGAACCAAGCCTCTTAATTTAAGCGGTTTTCGTTTTGATTCAAGCAAAAATCCGATTGAATCAAGAGTATTTTTTCTTGTCAATGTTTTCAAGAGTCTAGACTCTGGATTCACTGTGTTTTTTTTCCAGTGTATACAGCAATCAGGCTGCTGTGCAGGAGCCGACTATGAATACGAGCCTAAGTTCTCTTTTCTCGTTGACAGTCATATTTGAAGAGGAGGGTTTTCTAAAGGAAAGGTTGTATCGGTGATGTTGCAGGACGTTCGTGCGGAACGCTTTCACGTTCCACCTGAACGAGATCTTTTCGACGGTGCGGAACGAGTACACGGACTGGGACAAGCCTATCCTGCACCCGATCAACATCCGGGACTCGACGATGGAGGCCCTCAGCGACGGGCACACGGTGGCTCCCTGCCTCAAATTCGGGTTCCTCCACTCTCGCCGGGGTGCCAAGACCTACCTCTTCCACTTCAACTACCAGTCCAAAGACAGCGATTATCCTCAGGTAAGCCCCCTTTCACCCTCCTAGAATACCTGCGGGCCGATTATTGAAATTGATAGACAAAGCTATGGACAAAGAAGACAAAAGAGATGTGAACGGATCCATTGGTGGAAGCGGGTGGTTGGAGTAGACATAGAAGGTTGGTAATAGACTAAGTAACGGCAACCCACGAGGGAACCGATAGTTAGTTAGTTAGTCCATAATTTTCTCCCTTAGTCTATAGGAACCACCCATTTCAACCAACAGGATCGCTCCTTACTTCCTGTGTCTTCTATGTCTATCGCTGTGTCTATCACTTTCAATAATCGGCCCGCTGTATAGACAGAGTATGGTCATTTGTGTGCCGAGTTTTCATTTGTCACGAAACATAGGCTTATACATATACGGTGCGCTTACGGCCGCCATAGGTAAACAAACTTCCACGCAACCGTTGCATTCCCTCCAGAAGGAATTAATGAAATACATAATCAATTAAATACCTAGTACAAAATGTAATTATCTAATGAAAAACAAAATTTACGACTGATTTTTCTTCTCTTTAACATGATAATTCATTGAATGCTTCTATTTAAAACTATTTATAAAAATATTTAATTGAAGAGAAGAAAATTAGTTGAGTTTTATGTAATGTTTTATCATTTAAAATGACTATAAATCCAACAAACTATAGAAAAACTTCAAAATCATAAGTTGAAAACCGCTAATGCCGCAAGTTTAAATAATAGTGTCAAACACAGAGCGGTTGGCACGTGGCTGGTGCTTACGGCACAAAAGGCGCAGTAGCGCCTTACAAGACCGCAGGATACTTCATGCATTGCGCGTACAGCACGGTGCGCGCCACGGATAGTATGGCGCCTTACAAGACCGTAGGATACTTCATGCATTGCGCGTACAGCACGGTGCGCGCCACGGATAGTATGGCGCCTTACAAGTCCGCAGGATACTTCACGCATTGCGCGAATACCACAAATCGTTGAAAAGTCGTATTTTCTTGGTGTCAAACCAACCCCAGTGTGCACCATCTTCGAACAGTACACACCGCGAGCTTAGGATCACGTAATTGTAGAGATTTTACAATCCTGTCTGTTTTCCGGTGCAAATATAATTTAAGAGTGGACATTTTTCAAGGTGGAATGTTGTTACGTTCTATCGTCCGGATAACGCTGAACTTAGGTGTATACCTTCCACGGAGAGAATGTGAACATTTTTTATCACAAATGTGGCGAAATTCCCTGGGAGATATTCTTGGTATCGCATTCACTTAAAAATGAACTTTGGCAATGTAACCTGACTTTGGCAATGTTCGCCAAATGACCCAGGTACGCATATGGCTAATATCGAAAAATTATGGAGGGGGCAGGGGGAGTCCACCGCGGCACCGCAATGGGCTAGTCTGTTGGCAATTCCCCGGGTCGCTTCGAGGAGCCAGTCTGCCTCTGACAATGGATGATTTTAGTTCTTAAAACATGCTATAATATATTTCAATGCTGGAAAAAAACCTCAGAATTTTTTATAACGAACCTTAAGGCACTAACGTTCCGGTACAGAACGTTGCAAGGATATTCTCATAACCTCAGGTATATGTATAGAAGAAAGTCGCAACTAAACAACCGACTTTTCCCCCTAAGAGAGACCCTCGCCGTAAATTAGTTTTTCTCTTTTTCTTTCTTCTATTCCGTGTTATTCGTAGAAACGAACTAAGGGATGCTCTAAATCTTCTCTCGCGATATAAAGACCCCACCTGCTCTCTCCCGCATTCTTATTCAAATAACCCTCTCTCTTTTCTTACCCTTTATAATCTCAAAAGCGCGTATTGAAACCCGGTTCAAGACCCGGGAAGATTCCTCCAGGACGAAAATATTTACAGTCTTCTAGCCGATCTCTTCCGCGTAAAGTGACAGTCATAGCGCAGAGCGCGGTACGTGAAAAATGCCGCAAACAGGTGATCCTCGTCGGCAGATCTCAGCGCTAAATTCCCGATTTACACCTTCGAAGAGCGGGCCGATTCCCACAATCGCGCGCCCCCGGGGGCGCTGCACCAGCGTCTCCGTCGGCGGGAGAGGGCGCGAATCGGCGGGGGCGGGGGGTGGAGTTCGATGAAATATCATCCTTTTGAAAATCCGTCGGGGAAATAATTCAAGCGAAAACCTTTTCGGTTTGCAACCACCTCGGTCCCCGACAATAGTAACCTCGTTGTGAGATCTCGTGAAAAATCCCACTCTTTTCGATGCTCGTCAGAATCCACCGCCGTCCTAAGGAAAAATGCCGTAAGAGATCCTAGACGTTGCCAAATTTCTTGTAATAAAACCCGTATTTCCATAAAATCGTACCGATATTTTCCCTCGCGATTCCCTGAGAAGTTGACCTGCAGCTCAAACTCGTTTGGCTGAACATCTTTTTCTTCTTTTTCTTCTGCCTTCTGACTAGGGCCGTGACCCTGTTTGTCTAGCCTCTAAAACAGTAATATGATGCCGATGAGAGAGATCACTTAACATCGCAAGGAAAAATATTCATAAAAATTCCTAAAAATGAACATTTTACACGGGGAGATTTGGCAACCTTTAATTGCTCTTACGGTGTTTTTCCTCTGCTTGGCGGAGGAGTTCCAGTAGCGCTCGGTGGCACCGCGCTGGCTGCATGTGAGATTCCTTATTCGTTGCCTCTGCTTCCTTTTCAAGCGAGTAATTACTGGTTTATTTATTTTCTCGGCCCCCTCGCCGCTCCCCCCTTTCACTCAGATCGATCAGCCGGTTTGCGGTGGGTTTTCGGTGCGCATTTTCCTCTCGTGATGGGACGATGAATAAAATAAGGTTCGATCTTCGCCTTTGTCAATTATGAATCCAAGTTCAACAGGCTGGTCTTTGAACGTGCTCGAGGAGCTCTCATTCCCTATTATTCCCGCGAATTGCGGCGGGACTCTCAGTCGAAGAGCAAATCTTCGGTCCCTCTCTTCTCTCTTTTCGCTCGATTCCTTTCGATGAAGGTGTTGAAATTTTTGGCCAAAACAAAGGAATATTATCATTTTTTTAATAATGCAACTTGACCATTGCCTTATATTAATGCGTTGAAAAAATCTACTCCTTACCTCATAATCTATACGATGAGATCGCAAATTCCTCGGATTTTCCAGAGAGAAAAAATGAATTCATACAGTCTTTTAATCTGGGATATGCTACCGTATTGATTATCGTTAATATAATAGAAATTATCGAACGAGCTGAGCGCAAGGACGTCTTGAATTAGTAAAATATAGTTTCGACAAGAAATTAACATAATGATCAAATTTGTTGAAATGTCTTTTTTATTGGGAAATAATTTTCAGATGTGTATTTTAGCAATTCGAGTTTTCCAATTTTCAAGCTTGTTTTGAGGGTGTACCTTTAAAAAGTTGGTTTTTTGTTTTGGTTTTTTACACCTCTTGCATAATTTTATTTAAAATTTACTTGAGAATTGTAAATACATTTAAAAGTGACAGAAATGCCACTCACCATGCTCACCAAGCTGTAAATATATATCTTTGATGATTCGATGTAAATCTTTGTTTTAAAATTCATAAACGTGAACTTATAAAGCCTCTCTCCCTCTCTTTCAAGGCTCTATCTTTGAGCCTTGGAACAGAGTCACTTTGAGGAGACTCCTTTGAATTTCGCATAGAATTCCCAGCGTAACCTTCATTTACATCGTATCTAAATGAACTTTTTCGAAAAATACATTTCGAAGTAAATAATGGGGATTTTGTGATCTCCTCACGAAATCCGTAAGGTATATAGTCAAAACAAGATGAGAAAGGTGGGAAAATGTTTATGCGCCTTAAACGGCTATGATGCGATTTCTTAGGACGAAAAATCCGATTTGAAACTCTTGTAGAGCCTTTCAAACCAAGATTTTGATAGCCTGGTTTGAAAGAATGGGAAAGTTAGCTCACACCCTCTTATTCACAGGACCAACTAAAGTGTCCCCTAAACTATGGTACAGGGTTTTTCACTCGTGATCCCTTTTCCCCCCTTTTTTGGGTCACACCCACTCGTTCCGTCAATTGGCATACCGGTGCTCAAGATTGAACAGAGCACCGGGTATTAAATTTGCGCCGGAACGGTGCTCTGACAGGAACGCGCAGAAAAAACTACAGCCGCTGAAAAAAAATGCCCTGGATTCAAATTGAATTGCTTCACGTGGGCTGCTTTTCGCTTTAATTAACTTTCCCCTCGTCGATGGTCCCACTTAGTGAGAGAACACGTCGCCATTTTCCCTCGGAATTCCTCGAAAATACCCGATGCGACCAAATCAAGAAATCGGACTGGTCGAAACTGGCAACAGCGCATTTTCTTGAAAACAGAGTAATTTTAAAATACCTTGCCGTCCCTCCAAATAGCTGACCGCGTGCAAGCGTGTGACGGATATGAACCAATCGATACGTATGAAAGGGGCGAAGAGCAGGGCAGTCTTTTTTGCCCTTTTTTCTTCCGAGTAAAAACCAATGTCACACTTGAATAGGTGAATCAGTGGCGTGGCTTGATTTGCGATTTATCGATTTATCCGTTATTTAAACCCATGGCATAGGATCGATAAACAGGGTATCCGCAACGAAAAGCTTCATAATCGATTCTTTACCATAGCTTCAAATAGGGATACATCGATAATCGATTATTCACGCCTCGCCACTGAGATGAATGTATGACGGGGCACGAGCAAGGGAAAATAATTTAATGAGCGCTGGCTACTTCGATCCGCGCTTGCAAGCTCTCTGATAATTCCCATAATCGGTTTTTTCATGTAATTTTAATTGGATGTCGAACTGATTATTTAGCTGACAAAAAAAGAACATGTTTGATGAATACAACAGTATTTTTAACCCTAGGCTGCCTGAGCCTCTGAACCAACGAGAAAGCCTGAGCGGGGTCAATTTGACCCCAGCTGAAAATCAAGTAGTTAGCTATGTTTTTTTCATGTTTTTAGTTAATATCAGTGCACTAACCTTACAGGCCTTAACCATAGAGCATATC